TTTAGCTTTTGGCTTTCCTGGTGCTGTTGTCTCCTCTTTGCTGTGGCTGCTGCTTCTGTCCCAGTCAGCACTTTCCACAGATTGGTCACTGCTGTTTGCTTCATCTTTTTTCTGTTGTGCAGGACTGGGGCCAAATGTAAGGCCTTGCTCCTCCACCTTTATCTCTTTCTGTTTTGGTGGATCCTGCGCTGGTTGCTCCTTCCTTTTGGGTTGCTCTTGCTTGTTCCTCCTGGGGGTCATTTGATCTTTCCCAGACCCCTTGCCTTTTCCGTTCTCCTCTGCCTTCTTTTTCTTTGCCTCCTCCTCTGCCATTTTAGCAATGGCATCCCTTTCAAACTCTGATTGTTTGTCCCACTTCACCATGGCCCTTTGTTCACCTTTCTCTTTGAACTTCTCTTGCCTTGATCTGCTGCAAGTGCCTGCTCCTGTGGGCCTTCCTTTGTTGTTCCATGGCATCCCTTTTATCAAGGGGACAAGATGCCCAGCCCTTTTAACAAGGGTAGGATGAAGACCCTTTTGGCCTGGGCAAAACTGAATGCCCTTTTAACAAGGGCAGCAATACCTAGTCGAATTGATGCTTTAAACAGCTGCAGATGGAGAGGTTGCCAAACTTGTGCATGGGACCTGGGACCTGGGTGTGGGTGGTGCTGTGGCAAACCATATAGAAAAAACAGTGCATGCATTACAGTAATGGCACCTGCAGATGATGTAGATTTACAATTTCATGGTCTGTTAACATGAAATCTGAAATTAACACATAAAAAATAACAAACATATTATTGTTATCTTTTGGTACCCCTTGTTTTAATTGTGTCTATACCCCCTTCTTTTAAACATCAAACCAATTAAACATGACACATGCACATGTTGACTGAAAACATATGGTAAAGATACAAATGGTACCATGCATGCAAGCATGTTCAGATACACACATGCAAACTGCAAGTGGGTATGTATATATATATATTGTTTATAGTATGTGTGTGGTGGCAGTCCAAACCCTGGGCATTGTGTGGTGCCCCAAACTTCCTTTCACCAGCCCCTGGGCCCTCTTCAAGGCTATATTTTTTAACAACCAAACCTGATCCAAGGCTTTTGTAGCCAGAGTGGTCCCAGCAGCAGCAGCTTTAGCCTTTTAGCAAGGCTACTGTGCCCTTTCAGCAAAGTTGCTGCCCCAAAAACTAAAGTGCCAAAAAACCTTTTAGCAAGGGTAGCTAGCTTATATCTTTTGAACAGATGTTGGCAAGAAACCCCTTTCAACAAGGGAAATTTACCATCCATTCTTTGAAACTGCAGTGCAACTATAGTTCCCTTTCATCAAGGGAAGTTGGCATACAGTTCTTGTCTCAGCTCCAGGGCTTCTTCTTTGGTTATGTTGTCCTCTTCCAATCTTTCTTTGATTTTCTGCAAAATTTCTTTGTATTTGGGGTGCTTGTGTTTTGTGGTTTCCACAATCAGATGTTTCTTACCATTTGGCTCTGTGGTCCCAGTGATGTAAGTTCTCCATGGTGCCTTAGAAGTTGTGGTTACCAAAAGTTTGGTCCAAGCTTTTCTTGGGTAGGAGGCGGGCACCTTCCCTTTTATCAAGGGCTTTTTCTTGCTGGAGGAGGGTTCCCCTTTCTTGCTGGAGGACTTCCCTTTTACCAAGGGTGTTTTGTCCTTACTGCTTGTTGCTGTTTTTTCTTTCTTCTTCACTTTCTTGGCAGCTGGCTTTTTGGCAGAGCCCTTTCCAATCCCCAAAGCATCCCTGAGACTGGCATTTCCTCCAGGTGCAACTTCTTGCCAAGCAAGGCTGCCTGGTCTTCTCCTCTTGAAGGAAGGCCCTGGCAGCCCTCTGACAGTTTCACCTGGTTCTTCCCCTTTTACCAAGGGGGCTTCAGCTTCACTTGGTTCTTTGGCAGGGGTTGCCAAGGCTTTGGGGAAACCATTGCTGTCCACAGAAACTTCTGAAATGTTCTTTTTTAACTGCCTTCTTTCTGTGCTTTCTTCCTCTGCTTCCCTTTCAACAAGGGGCAGCTCCATTTGCTGTTGGCCCTTTCTCTCTATCAGTGCAAGGGTATCTTGCAATTTCAAGAAGTCTGGCCCTGTGAGCTTGGAAGCACATGCCCTCAGATCTGCTGATGCTGCCAGTCTTCTCATGTGGAAGAGAAGCACTGTGATTCTTTCCACTCGAATCCCCACCCAGGTCTCACCATTATACTTGCTGTCATTGAGGGAAGGGTTCTGGAGCAGAGCTTGGAAAACACCTTGTCTCAAGCTGCTTCCATGGATCTCACAAGTGGGCCCCAATGCAAGCAACCCTTTCAGCAAGGGCAAGCAGTGCACCAGCCCTTTAGGCTGAGCAGCCTGGGATTGGGACACTTGTTCATAGATTCCCAGATTTTGCAACAACTCACTGTTTTCTGAGAAGCACTGCAAGAGCAGGTCTGCATCTACTTGTGGCTTTGGTGTGTGCCTTGCACCACCTTTTCCAAAAGACATGCCCTTTCAACAAGGGAAAATACACCTTTCAACAAGGGACATGGAAAACACTTGAGCAAAGAAAGCTCTGGAAGCAGCTCCTTTGAAATCAATAGCTTTGTCAAATGGCAAATCAATAGAAAACCAAATTTTTCAATCAATAAACTTGCCAAAATCAAGTGAAAATGAAATTATTGAAAAAATCAATTAAACCGATCCAAATCAATATCAATATAATTTGCTATGATCTTATTGATTTGAATCAATAGCCGATGCTCAGGGTTGAATCACTATGTTTTCAAATTAAATTCCCACTATTGCTTAAGTAATGCTTAAGTGATATTCCCAACTATCATTGATGAGAATATTGAATCACTATGTTTGTAAATTGAATCCCCATTATCACTTACGTGACATTCCCAACTATCATTGATCGGAATATTGAATCACTATGTTTGTAAATTGAATCCCTTCTATTGCTTACGTGATATTCCCAACTACCAGTAGCACCGCACAAGGCGGTGGCGGAAGTTTCAAAAATAGGAAACCTATAGGGGAGCTTGGTTGTTGTCAATCACGGACGGCAAAGCGAATCCACTGATGGACCGACAGGTGGTTGAGGTCTCCTCTCTCTCTCTCTATCTCTCTCTCTCTCTCTCTAGATCTCTCTCTTTCTCTCTTTCTCTGACTATCTAGCTACTTACCTACCGATCTATCTATGTATCTATCTATCTTCTACCTACCTACCTGCCTGCCTGCCTGCCTACCTACCTACCTACGTACCTACCTACCTACCTATCTATCTATCTATCTATCGATCTATCAATCGATCAATCGATCTATCGATCTATCGATCTATCGATCGATTTATCGATCTATCGATCGATTTATCGATCTATCGATCTATCGATTTATCGATCTATCGATCTATCGATCTATCGATCTATCGATCTATTGATCTATCGATCTATCGATCTATTGATCTATCGATCTATCGATCTATCGATCTATCGATCTATCGATCTCTCTCTCTCTCTCTCATCTGTCTATCTAACTATGTATCTATCTATCTACCTATCTACCCATCTATCTGTCTATCTGTCTATCTATCTATCTATCCATCTATCTACCTGTCTATCTGCAAGCTTGAAAACGAAGCTATTCTGCGAGACTTCCTCAGTTGTTGAACTTGACAACATCAAAAACGAACCAATTCTGACGGCTTCTTCAATTTTTGAACTTGGCAACATCAAAAAAAAAGCAATTCTGCGAGACTTCCTTCAAAAATGGAAAGTTGAGTGCAGAGCTGACAGCCTCGCACCAATGCATTTTGCGATTTTTCCAGTCCACCTGTCGAAAGCACTGCGCCTGCCACGAAAAAGTGATGCCAGGTCATACGAAGTGCTGCACCTGTCACGCAACATCATCTCAGCAAACCTGAAGATCTGATGCTCCAAGGAAATCAGCGCCCTCACCTCCTAACAGCTCCGATGAAGATGTCTCTTGTACTGTGCCTGCCACGGCAAATGCATCTTTGCAGATCCTCTTCAAATGTCCCACGCCTGCCATCGTTTCTGGAAATGCTACAAAACCCTCGCGTTTTGCTCCCTTTTGACAAGGTGCGCAATCCCTTGCGCCTGCCACGCGAAACGAGATCTGAACGTCCAAAAGTGGTCCATACATGGTGTATTTGTGCATTTTGACTTTGAAATGTGCTTCGCGCCACAACGGCGTGCACTTTTTCGACATCTCAACTTCGAAAAGTGGTCCGGACCTGGTGTGTTTTGTACATTTGACTTCGAAGTGTGTTTCGCGCCACAACGGCGTGCAATTTTTCATCTCTCATCTGGCCAGATGGCTCCGCGCCCGCCGCTTTAGCGAGCCTACTTTTCGACCCTCCGGAGCCACAAATCATTGGAAAAACACAGTGTTTTGCGACTTTCCTACCTTTTCGCGCATCTGCACCTTCTTTCTTCTGACTCTTTCTCTTCTCTGATCTTCTCTCTTCTACTCTTCTCTTCTCTCTGACTCTTCCCATCTCTGCTTTTCATCTGTCCATATTGTCGGAAGTTTGACTTCGATCATTGATGGGAATATTGAATCACTATGTTTGTAAATTGAATACACATTATTGCTTAAGTGATATTCCCAACTTCCATTGATGGGAATATTGAATCACTATGTTTGTAAATTTAATCCCCATTATTGCTTACGTGATATTCCCAACTATCATTGATGGGAATATTGAATCACTATGTTTGTAAATTGAATCCCCACTATTGCTTAAGTGATATTCCCAACTATCATTGATGGGAATATTGAATCACTGTGTTTGTAAATTGAAACCCCATTATTGCTTAAGTGATATTCCCAACTATCATTGATGGGAATATTGAATCACTATGTTTGCTGATATCATTATATTCCCATCTTAATTGCTTAAGCTCTCATTTCCCTATCCCATTTGCTGGGCGAAATCACTATTTCTGTACGTGAAATCTCTATGTTTGTAGGTAAAATCCCAATTTGCGCCCAGCAGCTCTTCGTCCAACAAAGCCAGCCTCAGTGCTGCAAAATATAAACATGTTGAACTTGGGATATACTACAGAACCTCCAAAGACAACGGAAGTAGCGTGAGAAATCACTGTTCTATCTATTTGGGGCTTAGTATATGTATATATATATATATATAAATATGAATATATTACAGGACGCTATTTTAGAAGATATTAAATATTTTTTTCAAATAGAAGCAGGCCCAAGTCCATATGTAGCCGAGTCCGTTTCAAATAGAAGCAATTAGTAAAACAGACCGATTCACTAACAATTGCTTCTATTTGAACGGGAGCTGGTACTGGAGAGGCATTTTTCCTGTAAAATACAACGAAATTCCCCAAAAACATGTTTCCCTGCCGACCCCAACACCTTTTTTTCACCCCATGACCCCGGTCTGGGATCGATCCCCTGCGGATTGGGGCTGGCCACAGAGCTCAAAACAACATAAATTTGAGTTTGAGGAGTCCAGAATAGCTAAACTATATATATATACATATGCATACTGAATAGTTTGCTGAGCATTCGCCCTCGAGGTGGTCAGCCTAGGTTCACTAGGAAACCAAAAGTATACAGTAGTTTACATGTGAATTTTCAATTCGTCCTCAATCTTTTGCAAATGCAGGGCCGCTTCAGAGCCCTCCGGGCCAAGACATACTGCCTTGTAGTACCCCCACAGATTTCCCAGAGAAATTATCATAGTTTATGCAAACATCACAAAAATGCTGTGTTTTTGTATATTTCCGAGGGGCTTGTTCAAATAGAAGCAATCCCATATCCTATAGCTTCTATTTGATTGGACTGCTTTGAAGTGGAGGCCTTAGAGAAACATCCAAACTGCAAAAAACTGTCTCGTTTGGGTCTCGTTTGTCTTTGCCCAAAATGGAAAACACTGGTCGTGCTCAACCTGCCTTGCAATGCTGCACACTGCACAGTTTAGAGAGGGATCATACTCATTTGTGGTCAAACATTGAGTCATAAGTTCAAAACAAGTTGAAAACGCATGTTTTTTACACATTTTGGCACATAAGTGCACAATTCTTGTCAATTTCCCAGAGAAATTATCATAGTTTATCAGCAAAAGTCACAAAAATGTAATATAATATATATATATATATATAAATACTAATGTTGTACTACTGGGTCATAGCTATGGTATATCCAACTTAAGATGTACAAGTAGGACTTAATGTAGTGAGGGGACATAACTAACAAACCCACGGATGTATGACTGGTTAACTTTTGGAGGATTGTCTCACTTAGGAAGTGATGACGGTAACGCTGCTGAGTTACTATACCCCAAGTGGTGTATGAGTGGTGTATCTCGTAAATGGCTTATAACTATGGGGGCTGGCCAGTTATCAAGTGGGATGGTCCTCAAAGTAGGGGCATTAATTTGATAATGGAGTTATTCCTAACCAGCAATGCGATATGCGTTTGTCTCAAAAGAGTTCGGGCTACCGCGGCGTCCTTCAAAAAACTGTGCTCTGCTCGCCCTTCAAACTTCAGTCGTCTCAATCCCCACCTCACGCGCTGATACTATCAAACTGCGGCCAGTCGACACGCCAGTAGTAGTCCAGCACGGGGCGGCCCCAATGAGCCTGTTGATTCGCGCCTGAACACTTCGCTGGATCGCAGCCGTCCACTTAGCTTCCATCCGGGTGGTCCCCATGGCGGTCTTGTAGCCGAACCCATCCTTCACAGGAGCCCACAGTGACTGGTTGCCAGCGAACTCGGTCGGGCTGTCGGCACGAGATCCCCATCCATTCGTGCAATCATGTTGCATCACTATGTTTGTAAATTGAACCCCTATTATTGTTTAAGTGATATTTCCAACTGTCACTGATGGGAATATTCCCTGAGCATCGGCTATTGATTCTAATCAATAAGCTTGAACCTCTATTGATTTAGCTCTTTTTTCAATTAAATCTACATGGCTTTCATCGTATGCAAATCAATAGGAGGAAGAGCTTCAAAATCAATAATTTTGGAATGTCTTTTGCATGAGAAAATCAATAGCAAAATCAATAAGGGTTGGCAGCCCAGTGGCAGCTGGCAGCATCTTTTTTCCACAAACTTCAGCCAGTAATGCATCTCATCCTTTCAGCAAGGATACCAGCAGTTCATCCTTTCAGCAAGGAAGCTACATACAAGCTGCCCATCCCTTCAGCAAGGAATTATAAGCTAAGCACACACACACAAGCTCATATCCTTTTATCAAGGATCATCAGCCTCATTGAGGCAGCTTCCAAAACCAGGCCTGAGGAGTTGCAAGTGTAACAGCAGTTTGTACTTGACAGCTATTTTTGATGACAGCCTTGAAGATTTCACTCCAAAGCTGACTGAATGTGCCAAGGTTGCCATTTGGCCAACAAAATGCTCTGCTCTGTAGTTCTGATGAAGCCTCCAGTTGAGGAACTTTGAGTTCTTGATCAAATGGTGGAATGTGTGAAATTTATGAGTGGTGTGAAACAGCTTTCTGTTTTCCTTCACAGCCCACTCATTCAAGTCTGCATATGTGCTGAAAAACCTTTTAGCAAGGTTGGAAGCCTTTTCAAATTCTGTAGGGGTAGGAAAGATGTCCATTACATCATACAGATGCCCAATGTCGACAAATGCTTCCAAGCAGGCAACCATGGTTTGGTGAACAGGTTCATTGTCAGGCAAGACCTCCTTGAGCACATGCAGCAAGCATGGAAGCAGGTGCTTTGTTTCACCTGCCTTGGCTTCCAAGCATGCAAAGCTCTTATGGGGCTTTGCAGCATCAGAACAAATCATGGAGAGCCTCAGGTTGCTCAGCCTTGAGCTCACATGATGTTGCACATAAAGCTCCTTGATTCTACCAAAGATTGTTTGGAGTCTCTTGTTTGGTGGATTTTTTTGTCTCGCTTTCACACCATCAAAAAAACACAGGTAGTGGAGCAAAGAGCCTGCTAAGTGAGATCCAACCCCTCTGGAATAGAGGATATGGAGGCTATCACCCCTCACCACTGCAGTGGTCACCCCAGGAATCGAAAAAAGAGGATGGCTGCTCCTTTTATCAAGGAGAGCTTGGTCAGGGGTCACATAAACATATCTCTGCTGTTCTTCTCTCAAGAGCTTCACAGATTTTCCTTCAGGACATTCTTTGCCTTTGAAGGAAGGCTTCTGCCCATCACACTCATGACAAGGGAATTTGTTTTGCCAATGTGGCAAAGACAAAGTGTTGGAAAAGAATTCTTGGTCTCCTTGTATAGACCAAATCCAACATCTGTGATTGCCTGGTGTTAATGGTTGGTCTGCCAAGCTTGACAGTGGCATTGGCAAGGCCTCTCCATAAGGATCTTTGGATGGGTGCTTGCCTTTTAACAAGGCATCGAAGCTCCAACTAATCCAATCATGAAGAGGGCCCCAAGTGGTGGCCACTGAGCAACATTTTGGAAAAGCTACCAAAAGGAGATGGGATGCCAAACTGTCCTGCTTGCTAAGCATGGAACCCCAGCTCCAAGTCATAAGTGAATCCCTGGTTTGGTATTCAACACCATCACCATGAATAAAGATTGGACATGTCTTTGTGGGCTGGATGACCCTTTTATCAAGGGTGGTCAAAGGTGGTGCAAGCTTTGGGTCTCGAACTTTCTCCACACCTTGCCAAAAGGCTGCTGTTTCTTTGAAGCAAAACAGCTTTTCAAACTCAGAGGGATAATGTTGGGCAAGTTTGCTAAACATCAGGTGTGGCAAATAAAGCATTGCATCTTCTTTGGTAGTCTTTCTTGTGTTCTGATCTAAAACATCGACAGCAATGGGCATAGGATCACAAATCTGAATGCCTTTGCAGAAGTGTGCCACCATGTCCCTGTGAGCATTGCCTTTGTTTTGGCCAAAATTGCCACATTTGGCCAAAGATGTGATCTCAGGTGATTTACAACCTTCTAGCATTGCAAGATGTCCAATCTCTGCCACCTGTGTAGCAGACAGCTTCCCCAAAGACCACAGCTCCAGCAATCTATTGCACAAAGGGCTTGAAGTTGAAACTGGGTCAGTCAAGCCATCTTCCTTTGGCAATGCCTTGGACCTTTCAAAGTGCCACCCCTTGAGTCTCTTGGGTGGCCTTAACATTGCAAAACCACCTTTCAACAAGGGGAGCCTTTTAGCAAGGCAAACCTTTTAGCAAGGCCAACCTTTTAGCAAGGCCAACCTTTTAGCAAGGCAGGCAAATGGCTATGCCATCTTGGGCCAAAAGCAGCAGTGGCAGGCCAGTGCTGAAAGGAAACCTGGTGGAGGTGTGGTATATATATTTGGTGGGGTGATTTACAAGTCAGGTGCATTAAAGAGTTGTCTTACAGTGGCATTAAATTAAGCACTTGGCACTACTAGTAAGTTTGAGACCCTTGGAAACCCCAAAGTCACCAGTCCCCACTGCCCCCCTGCTGACCACATTTTTGCACTTGCATTTCTTGGGTTGGTTCTGGTTTGCTAACCTGCAATGCTACCCTTTTAGCAAGGGAAGTTGCTTCAGCATCTTCAGCATCCCTTTGAACAAGGGCAAATTGCAGATTCCAGCAGCCATTTTACAAAAAAAAAAGCATCAAAATCAAGGCTGGTCAAAACTTGGGCCACTTAACAAAATCCATTCCTTTTACCAAGGAGCCTCTTCTAAGGAAGTTTGGCCAACTTCATTCCTTTTACCAAGGACATTCTTCAAGGGAAGCTTAGCTCTTGCTGGCTTTGCTGTTGGCCTTGTTTGCCAGCTGGTTCAATTCCCTGGTTTCTTCTTTCACTTCCTTGATTTTGCCCATCAAGTCTAGCAGAAGACTTTTGGCCTTCTCAAAAGGCATTGCTTTTTCTTTCTTTGCCAGCAAGTCCTTCACCACCTTGACCTTTTTGCTCAAACCCTCCAAGGTGTTCTCACAGTCTTTTTTCCCTCCTTTTGTCAACCTTTTAGCAAGGTCAGCTTTCCTCAGTGCAGCTTCAAAATCATCTTTGGCAACAGCTGCCTGGTCTTTGCCTCTCTTGGCCTTGGCCAAAA